ACTGTGATATTTGTGCATGCAGGAGCTTGCATAGACATGCACACACAGGAATATGCACACACAGGAATGAGTAAGATTGAGATGTTGCACATTGGATTAGTGGTCTATGCCTTCCAATACCAATGCTGCGGGTTCAATCATTGCTGCTAAGTTTTTTCTATCTAAAATTATTGCGCCTATTTGCTACGTGCTTTAGTATTAGCACTTGTTCTGCGCCGAGGGCTTACACTTCAGTGCTTTTGGCAGTTAGCCCGCGTTTATAAATTCACGTCCACGCAAGCGTATTATAGGCCTCTTGCACAAAAAAATTATGCTACCTGTTTCATTACTGTGCCGTTCTCTTTGCATAATATTGTGCAGGTGACGAGGAAAGATCTGTTGCTGCTCAAGACTAACTAGATCTTGACTACGTTTCACCAAGCCAATAGTTGTTGTGATATTTACAAAAGTTCATCTGTAGCTAACTTCTTTACACAGTCAAGACTGCACAAAAATGCCATTTTACCTGCGTGTGATGTATACCCTTTTTGATTCTAAAACTCTGTTGTTGAGTGAAGACCTAATTTTATCAGAGCGTTTCTAAAGTCTATAATGCTTTCATTGGGAATAATGTTCATGCGTGTGTTCATCGATTTACGGGACATGGCCTAATCCTCTAATCCGATTGGTCTTGCAGAACAATAAGCAACAAGTCGATGTAAGACAATGCCTTCTCCCGCGCGCTCCGCTGGGCTATCTTCGTATCTGCCCCATGCTGTTTACACAGTCATGCAGAGCTATAGTCGTTACGGAATACTGTAGTGTTACCCATCTCCATGGGTGACCTCCACACCTTCGATTCGCTTGCATTCTTGCGTGATAATTACAGAGATGTTAATGATCTGTGAGCAAATTACTACTTACGGAGCTTGCACCGCATCTTTGAAGAGAGTTCTTGATTTTGGTAGTGGTCCCATCATAAAAAATAGCATCAGCACAGCCGTGTTTACCACCGAGATTGTATTCCGCGACATTGCCTCCTCTAATCGCAAAACTACAAAGAAAAGGCTGGATGGTGATGCTACATCATTCGACTGGTCTCCTAACTTAGAATACATTGTCAAAACCCTGGAAGGGAAGGGGGAGAAGGAGGCAAGGGACAGAGAGCAAAGAATGAGACGGATCTCAAAGGTGTTATATTGTGACGCTCTCTCGGAGACGGCGGTGGAGAAAGGTTACGAAGGCCCGTATATACGACGTTATCATACAATGTGGATGCTTGGAGGGTGCATGAGCAATACAAGGGGGGGTGGTATTATACTGAGACTATAACAAAGGTTGCACCTTAACTCCATCTAGAGTGTGTAGCCGTCAACTGCTGACTGCAGTCAGCAGAAAATGGCGTCGTTCAGTGTCACTCTGGAAGAGCTCCACGATCTGCTGTAACGACGTGCAAAAACAAAAAAAACGATGGCTTGTTGTCCATGCACACCTCCGACGAATCTGGAGACGTTCAGTGAAACAATCAGCGCTTCAACTTGTTCCAGGAAGGAGGTAGCGGGTCTGATGATGACTGACGAAATAGTGAATCGCATATATGAGCGAGTTTATTCTCGCATGGAGAACTGAGGACGCGTATAAAGTATTAAGGTAGCTAGATATTGGCCTCTAGACTATTGCTATATAGTCACTTTTGAAGGCATGGTGAGTCATTCTCGCCGAGTTTTGAGGCGTTTTGTACACGGACTACGCATCCTAATTCCTGCATTTCGCTCGCCAACATTAATCATTTAAACACATTATGACTAAGATTGAAATGGAATTATGACATGGTTGCTAAAATGATCTGCCGTGAGACAGTGGGTGAGTGGGTGTTTGTGGGTCAGAGGAGTGGTGACGGTGGTAAAGTACTCTGTTGACCTGGGAGATGTCCAGGTCTCTGAGAGGAGGGATGGAGTGTGGCTGGGAGGGGCTGGACGATGGAAACTGGGGACAAGGATCTGGTGGAAAAGGGACGGAGGGAGAGGGAGGAGTTGAGGATGATGGATGTGCAGTGTAACGTTTCGATCACACAGGCCGGAACCTAACTGATCACGATACAATGCACTCGTATACACATACATGTGAGGCACACCATACACCCATTGATAGCACCTTACAGCCCTCCTTTCTCTTTCTATCTCTTTCTTAACAAGCATGAGCTGTTCAAATAATACAGAGTAACAACACCACAAAATAGCATACAACATACTACACAGGGAATACACTACATGTCCTCCCTCTCTAACTTTTGTCAACAGCCTTCCAAACTTCTGTAAAGACGATTCGGTTGCTGGCGGATGCATGCATGGTATCGAGAGTTGAGTCGGTAGGCTGTGTTAGTTGTGACGTTCAGAAATGCTCAGCAGCGAGGTTCACATCCTCAGGTTTATACTATAGTGAAACTGTGCTGGTAGTTTGCCCTCGGCTCAAGCTTGGAGATGTGTTTTCCCCTGACACACTTTCCTGCAGCTGGTAGTCAATGTTCAAGTGTGGGTTAATGGACATCTCGTAATCACCTAAATCTGGAGTGAGTCAGGCGCCATTAACACCCCTATGCTGCCCCCTACGAACACAGGTATATCTTCTTTGAAGGTATGTCGTTGACAAGAGTATTCGTACTCTCTCCAAGTAGACTGTGAATATGGTTCTTGGTCTGGTCAGAACTCATGAAGTTGTCCTAGCATGTAGGTTATTCGTAAAGGTTTCGTTGAAATGACAGACAGCGCATCTTTGTCGCTCGTGGATTCCCGTCATGGACTACGATCTTCCTCATCTCCAGTGGCAACGTTTCGATAACACAGGCCAGGAACCCAATACACATACATTGGTCTACACATGCGCACGACACACCATACACATGAAAAAACATGTTTATAGCATACTAGCTAAAAGTATAATATCAGAGGTTGTACACTGGCTAGGCCTCAGAACAATGGAAAATTGCTGAGTGTATTAGTGGAGTAGCCTGAAGAGGTGTGAAAAGTAACAGGTAATATGACTGCAGGTGTGAAAAGTAACAGGTAATATGAGTGATATTACCTGTTGCTTTTCACACTTCTTCCCAATCGACCGGACAGAGTCGTTCGGCACCTCCCGCGGAGTTCCGAGCGCTTCGCCACTCGGTAAAGACACCTACAGCCCATTGGGTGTTTTTGGCGGTGTTACTTGGAACGAAAACCTTTGAAATCTCAGCTATTTCGCTATTTCTTCCTCGGACATATATAGTACGAAAGCGGCTTTCAGGAGAATCGAGGCAACAAGAGTCTTCCTCCAACTACGACGCGGGCGGCGAGGGTGGGCAGGAGCTCCCGCGTGACCTGCACGCCGGGCCCATCCACCAGGCTTCCTTCTATTTTTCGGAGAGCGTAAGTCCTGGTCCTCCATGACGACGACGCTGTCGGACGTTCTGCTCAGATCAGACGGGACGAGACGACGCTGTCAGACGCTCAGACACGTGCGCGGTTCTCCAGTGTACAAGCTACCAGTAGCACGCCTACTGGCGGGCCTTCCACGTGTATGCGCTCAGTAATATTGCATAATCCCTCGGGCTACGCCCTCTGGTTTACGCAATATTACTTCGCGCATATACGTGGAAGACACCTGGTAGGCGTGCTACTACTATTACAAAAGAAAGAATGCACACAATGACATATACACTATATACAACACACCAGAGGACAATCAACATTCCTAAGCTGTCTACGCATGCTGCTATAATGTAATCAAGTATTGTAGTTAGAAAGGAAGTGGCTCTAGCTGGTGTTCCGGCAGGCCAAGACCTTGCCATCTCTCGATTGTTTTTATGTCCAAGTGTGTACCACGGAGAACACTCGTATATAGCCTTGCAAACGCCAGTGTGCCGTTTTGCAGAAAGTGCTGACCCAACTGGTTGACTGGGTTGCTTGGGCGAACATACGTCTCTTAGGCGCATGTGACGCACGCAATGACACCTGCACAACCTCCTCTGACAACACTCTACACAGGGAACACACTACTAGTAGAAGGCAACGGAATAGGGTGGCATTTTTAGAGCTACTACAATTATTATAGCTACAACAGTGGTGTCATACCTTGTACAGATCTTGGGTCATTGAATGGTACCACCATCATGCAGTTCAAACCAGCATACATGACCACTCCCACTAGCGCACTAACTATTACAAAGGATGGAAAAGCAACTGCCCAGTACCTACACGGCGAAAAGTTGATAGACATAAAAGACAGTATAATTATAGTTACAAAGGTCACAAACTGACTTGTGAGGCAAGTAGGAGAAGCCGATAGCTGTCAACCACGTGTCTGGCACAAATGCCCACATCAGGAATACACCTAATCATAATGAATGAGATATCTCTGTTATTCACAACTTCATTACCAGCTCTATAATTATTATGCACCAAGGTTTGTCCTATAACCGTAAAAAAATTGGCATGGTGTACTACCCAAGCTCCACCCACAAGGTAAAAAACTGCCACTGACAAGAACAGTGTATACCATGCGTGCCAGTCTCTGTGTGGAATACTGATGCAACTGAGTTTGATTAGCTAGTCCCTGATCTAATTAGGGTATCTAAAAATTACAAGTCAGCACTATCAAAGGCTAGATAAATGCGCTTACTCTCACAAAATCTCTTCTCCCGCCACATGAACTCACCCAGGGCGAGGAACGAAACTAGCCAGAGAGCGAAGCCGCACACGGCCCGTTCGGAGCTGGGGAAAGGCGAGTGTCCCTTGTCAGCAGACAGAGCCATCAGGTTATCAATGATGCGCATGCGTATAACCGCGCAAGCAATTGACGCGCAAGGTGTTTTTGCGCATCGATCTGCTAACGCAGTATAAAACGGGGAGGCTTTTATTGCGAGTTCAAGGGCGACAAGTTTCTGGACCGGGAACCACGACGATATGGCGCTGTTAAGGAGTGGATCCCAGTTCGAGGA